AGAGAGGAGAGAGTGAGAAAGGGAGAGAGAGGGGCCAGAGGCCGTGGGCGGGCGGGCGGTCGCGCGAGGGGAAGGTGCGGCGAGGAGTGGCACGGCGAGTCTAGGCGAGGCGAGGGGCGGAGGGAGAGTGGGTGGGTGGGAGTTGGACGAGAGAGACGGATAGAATCTCTCCATTCCCTTGCCCGCCTCCCTCGTCTCGCCCCCGTCGACTGCCCTAGTCGTTTCCAGCAAGTACTTCTATGTACCACCATCTCCTACACGCTACCCTTATATACCTTGTATATTTACCTTGGTGGCATATACGCGTACCTACTATATGCATGTACCATCGGGGCCCGCGATACATAGGTCCGAGCGCCACATAAAAAGTACATAGGAGCTGTAGGTATAGCTCCGGCTGAAAATTATTCCGAGTATTTTCGAATTAGCGTGCAAAAGCGAGCAACGGTGCGCGCTGAGAGAAAAAAAGGCCGACTACGAAACGTAGTTTTCACCGACGCACCCTCCTCCTCCTACCACTCCACAACTTCCACCTTCTCGTCCGTTTCTTGAGCGCCCCCCTCAACAAGAGGTAATTCCTCCTCGAACCTGTCGACTTGCTTCTCCGTTTTTCATCCTCCCCCTCCCCGCGGTTTAACTGTATTCGCACGGCGCGTTCAACGGAAAAGCGATTCTCCGGCGTGAAGAAACGGGCGAAAGCGTTGCCCGTGACTGTACCACCTTACCTTCTCTCCCCGTCGCGGCGCTATTCTTTCTCCTGGACGGATCGCTTTATCGTGGTCGGGAAACTCGGGAGGAATCCGCGTAAGGACCGGTTTTTTGTCCAGTCCTTTATCCTAGGCTCGGTGGAAGCCTTGGACGAGGAGAATAGGTTGTAATAATAGAAGGCTGCGACGCACGATCTCGAATTTTTTCTTCGGAAAGGCAACAGAGTCACCTTTGCGACGCCTACGCGCACACCTTCCTTCTTCTGTATTATCACGGCCTGGCGTACGGAGTGCGCCGAAATAACGGCGATACATCGGCCGCCGAAAAAAGGCGAAGCGAGAACCGTAGCGGAGGACGAGGTGGCAACCGGCGACGACGCCAACGGTTCCCTTAAATACATCCGAACGACCGTTTTCCAGTGCGCGTTGCACCGTGAATACTCGACGCGTCGATAGCACTAGCAACCAGTGCATCCCATGGTCTTCCCACCCTACCCTACCGAGCCACTTTTATCGCGGCCTCCTCTTTCCTAGCTTTTCCTCCGCGTCTTCCATCGACTATCGCCGCGGCGCCAAAATGAATTTACACGGATATCCACGGCAGCCGCGCGATACGCACGGTTCTCCTTATCGACGCGTCTGCTCTGACAACCTTGCCAACTTTTCCCCAACGCGGACTATGGAATATCGGGTGAAAAGGGTGGTGGTGCTGCTGCTGCTGCTGCTGCTGCGTTTGTCACAGCCCCGAAAACGCCAACCACTTTGCAGTTGCCGCACGTTGCGTGCTCTAATTTTCGGAAAATATCACTCCCACGACGATTAGAAAAGATGAATTTACTTGCGACATTTCTTCTTCTTTCACCAGATACTTTACGTAACTCTTTCTCGTCTTGACGAGTTTTTCTCCCGCAGCATCGCGCTGTCTTCGACAGCCGCGCAAACGTTTTTCCCCTTGGGAGCGTATCGACAGAAAAATACCGCGGTACCGTTTTACCTTCGTACCACGTGACGGGAAAGGGTCGATGCTCGATCGGCTTCTTGTATCGGCTCGCGTGCCGATTTCGCGTCGCGAGGGATGATTTTCGTAAGAGTAAATTCTAGCGATTGGGATTACGGCGAAAAGACGGCGAAAAGACGGCGGAAGTCTGGCAAATATGAGAAAGATCGCGTGGGAGTGCGTATACCCGGCTGCGTAAATATTCCCCTTGATATTTTAACCCTTTTGTCAGGAGCTTGGACGAACGTATCGGGAGGTCTGTAATTTTCAATGTTAACGGAAATAACGCAGCTGGGCTGCATTATGCCGTTCCGTACAACACCGGATTGTTTGTATTTAGTCTCGAACGTAATATCTGTAGCACGGAGCGGGAGCCCATTACGCAGGGCGTATCACGAGCGCGCGACTTCCGCGCGCCATACTAGGATTCGCGCTCACGTCCGATGACTTTCCCCGGGTGTCAAGTAACACAGCTTTTAGACACGATTCGCCGGCAAACCGAACCTCTTCCCGACTACGAGAAAATCCTTCTTGTTGCCGCAAAGAGTCGCGAAGAAACGTTGAAAGGTAGGAAGGAGGGGTTGGGATGGGCGAATATAGTTGCCGGTGTAATCGATTCGAGTTGCCGCGGACGTGAAACTACTTAAAATCGATCGGACGGCGGTACCGCACAGCTGATCGTAATGGTTTCACTTGTCGAGAAGTTTGCACGGCTACTCGGAACTAGTAATCTCCGCGACGATTCCGACCGACGCTTGGAATCCACGGTTGCGCGTTTACCAGTATTTACCTAATTATTTCCCTAATATCGCGTATGCTTGTTGTTGTACTGTGTCACACTGTGTCATCGGTGTACCGGACGTGTGCACGGTTGAGATATGGCGTGCCGCAAAGCTGATCGGCTCTCATAATTAGTCGAAAGATGGATGGGGAGGATGGAGCGAGAGGAAACGAAAGGGGTAGACGATAGAGGGAACAATCGTAATTGGCGTGTGCTTATAGGGAGTAGGATCAATTGAACGGGGTGCACGCAGGCTTATGCACTCTAACGACGGTACACTCCTCCTCCTTCTCGCGATTCTTTCAAACGCTTCCTCTGTTTCCTGTTGGAATCACCGCCGGTATTAGGTCACTTTTCAGCCGCCCCTCGAATAGTAGCCACTTTGCCGGAACTCGTTCGATTTCCTTAATACCGATATTGAAATTCGGTATTTCTCGATGGAAACCTGCATGCATAGTCGATACCGCTCGTATCGAGAAGTTACGAAAGGAGGAAAACAGCGGGCGGAAAGTTTCGAGACGCGTAGGTACGGCGGAACGTGTAACGAGAAACGAAAGGTCGCTGTGAAAGGAAGGAATCACCACGAAAATCTCTTTCGAGGACAGAGGACAGTGATTAGTTTCGCAACGATGTTCTTTCCAAAAAGTTCCCACGATTTGCGTTCCTTTTGCAACGTCTTGCGTTACCAACGGATCAACGAGAAAAAACCAGAAAGAAAGAAAGAAAGAAAGAAGAAGGAACGAGTATCGTTTGGAATAAATTACGTCGAAATTACGTCGAAATTACGTCGAAATTACGTCGAAATTACCTGTTGCTAGTCGGGGCGAGCAAAGGCATTCAGCCCGCGAATTCATTTCTGTCGAGAGGAAAGAGAAACGGAACAGTTTAGCGCGTGCGATTCTCCTTTGAAGAGAAAAGGAAGCGGAAATTAAAGAAAAAAAAGAAACCTTTTCGAGGATGTGCAGCATCGTCGTATTAACACCGTTCGATTTTCTTCTCTGTGCAGATCGTACCCGTCGCCCGTGCAGAATGGAGGGCCAAATGGAACGGCGATGAATTGCGGCGCCGGCTCTCAAGGTAAGGAAGAATCGAAAAAAAGAAAGGAACACGGATAGAATCGGAATTGGGCGTATCGTTATGGGGTAGAGAGAGAGAGAGAGAGAGTAAATTGTACATTTTCGGTATTTCGCAATAAAGTCAGAGTTGTACGTATTAAATTAGCGTTGCGTTCAATTTATTGGGAGAATTCTCTTTTAAAGATCGGCCTAACAACGACTACCCGATATTTCAGAGGAAAGTTTCGCCGCGATGAAAAAATTGCCCAGCCCTGTGACAATTCAATATCGCGTGATTACGCGGACAAAGGTATAACGAATCAAATATCATTTTAATTTTGTATATTGTACGCTGCAACACGCCGGCCGGGCGTTGGTGATTCGTGCGTTTGGCATCTCGCAAAAACCTGGCCGCCCGCTTATTCGCGCGCACGTTCATTTTCAGATTCAACCTCTGCCCCTTTCGAAAGATCCGCGTAAATTCCACTTAACGTCCTGTTAATATCGAACTTTGTCGATTTCACGAAGAAAGGGTTAAAAAGGCGGGATGGGCTAGAACGCGGGCTGTACCGCGGGGATCGTGGTGGATATCACCGGTGGTAAATATTTTTTTCCGGAATCATTGAACAGTTGCACGCATCGTTGAGCAGCGGTTGAAAACGCGTTCCTCGCTTTCAACAGAATCCTGAGATTAACGCGTTAACGAAGCTTACTTTTCAACGGTCGCTTAGCGTTCCCCGTTGATTCGATATCGCGCTCGAACGAAGCGGATCGTTTCGCGAGAACCGCGATTTTTTCCCGGGGAAAACGTCACACGTGGCGGTAGAAAGAACGGGAAGGCAGGAACGAGCGTGCGTGGGAAAGGAGAGCTGGACGTATTACGTTAATAATATATTTCTCGAGCGATAACGGGTGGAATAAGGGAAACGGGGTGGGAGAAGAAGAAGAGAGAGAGAGAAAATACATAATCGCGCGAGCGAAGGGAAAAGGGTGCGGACAGCGAGGTGCGATTTTCCTACAGCATGCAGAAACTTTTATTCAAACTAGCGAGATACGGTTGGCACTTGCGAAAAGTTGACTCACGGCGTAAAAATATAGCTGGGGCGATAAGCTCGTGGAAAAATAAGGCAGCGCGTTTCGGCCGCGTTCAATATTAAAAATATTCGAGAATAGCGTAAAAAGCGTAGTAAAAAGCGTAAAAATCGGTCGGACGCAGTTGATAGAACGAAAGAGAATGCGTGTGGCGGTTGTTTGGGCAGACGACGACGACGACGACGACGACGACCGAGTTGATATTCGCGAGACTGATTACGGGAGAGAGCGAAACGCCCGGTTACGAGAAGAGAGAGATCGCGAGCGGAGAAGAGATTGAAGCGACATCGGCGGCGCGATGCCTTTTTCTGTGCAGGAGTGATGGTGAAACAGGAAGCGAGGGATGACGGTTACGAGACAAGTCCGGACCTCGAGATGAGGAGCACCGGTGGTGACAGCAGTCAGCAGTACCACACGCCGCTGACACCGCACACACCGCACACACCACACACGCCGCACACACCCCTCACGCCGATATCGGCGACAGCGCATCAACCCCAGCAACCTGGCTCGGCCGCTTCCACCCTCGGACAGGTGAGTTTTTCCTATTTCTAGCCGGAGGAAAGTATCGTACGAGGACAACCTCTTTCGATCGAATCTCTCCCCCCTCCTCCCCCCCCGCCCCTCCTTTCCGCTCCATCTGTCTTTTTAACAACCACGTCGAAATCGCAAATCTCAACCGAGAGACACCGGCCGAGCACAATCGCCGGTTACGCGTGAAAAACCTCGAGAAATAAAGTTGAAAAGTTATTACTTCTAGCCAGAGATATTAGATCTAGCCAGATCTGCCGGTCCCCGATCGAACTTACGACCGATAAATTACGATAAAAGCACGCGTAATCGGCAGATTGAGTTTTCGCAACGGCACGCTGCTCAATTTTCATTTCGACGTTAGTTTTACGATTTGCTTATGCAACGCGGCTTCTCGCCGCAAGGTAACGCGACGCGACGCGACGCGACGCGACACGAATCGATCTAGATCCTAACCTTCGATACCGCGAACGTCCGAACTGGTGGTGTCGCGGTGAAAAGAAGAGATTTTGCCTTCTTAAGGCGAACCAGTGCCGCCGGGAATTGGCAAACGGTAGAGATGCACTTTCGACGATAAACAATTTCACCGTTGTCTTCTTCGTTCGCATTAGCAGACCTCTTTAACGGAAACGGTCCAAGACGAAAGTAAGAATCGAGGTACGGGTGGAAGAGGATGGGTCGATTGAATTGTGTACCGTGAACACGTCTCGGATTTATCGTCGCGAGTCGTGATCACCGACCGACTTTTTCCACCACTTTCGATCGACGCGCTCACGCTTCCCCCCTGTCCACCCGTTCGAATCAAGGTTCGATGGAAAGAATACGTATGGGGGAATGATTGACAGGTGGCGATCAAGTGCGAGACCCCGGTGGACCCGTACTCGTTCGTGGACGAGGAAATGTCGATGGGAGGCATGAGGACGGCCAGCAGCCCTGCCGGCAATCCGGAGAACATGACGTGTCCGGCTGGAGGGCAAACAGCCCTTGCTACACCTACGTCGACGCCGCCCGGTCCGCTATCCGGACCGCAACATCTTCAGATGAACCTCGGCGTGATGAACGGCAACGTGAATCCCCAGTTGGCCGCGCATCAGCCAAAGAAGCGGGGCCGCAAGAGAAAATCCGAAATGATTCTCACCCCGGAAGAGTAAGAATGCACACGCCAACCACCTTTATTCGTGTCTCCTAGATACATACACGTTTTGTACAATTTTATCATTTTCGCGAGTAGCTATATAGCTATATAGCTATATTCATATAGACCGCGTGTGACGAGTATTCGCGAGTGGTCGATGGCCACAGTTCATTCTAAATAATAATATGCGGAGGGGTCAATAGACGTGGGTCGATGCGACTAGACTCGATTATAGCTGTTGGCTCGCTGCGAACTTTGCCTCTCCCGTAAACGAACCACCACCTTTCCAAGGTAAAGGAACGCAACCTCTCTCGAACCAATCGATCGCGATCTTGCCCATTTTTCTTTCCAGAGCGCCTTTTTCAAACTTCTTTCTCACATCGCGAATAACTCTGCCGCGGTTCGAACCTTATCTGTTCTTCTCTGTTCTTTTTTAACAAATCGATACAATTTGCTTCAGGGCGGAACTAGCCGAGGCGAAGAAACGAGCAAAGACGTACAAAGAGAGGAAGAAGCACGACAGATTCGACGGCATGCCGGAAGAGGAAGTGAGCAAACGGATTCTTCCGGATCATCTTACCAACAACCTCGACATTATCATAGTAAGTTGGATTGGGAAGGATGTTCGGGTATCGCGAAGGGCGAGAGAGAGGGAGAGGGAGAGGGAGAGGGAGAGCGAGAAGGAAGGAAGGAAGGAAGGAAGGAAGGAAGGAAGGAAGGAAGGAAGGAAGGAAGGAAGGAAGGAAGGAAGGAAGGAAGGAAGGAAGGAAGTGCTCGCGATCCCGTCGCGTCGCGTCGTTTTTCGCGAGGGGAGAAGGATTAATCGGATTAGCCGGCAGCATAACGGGCGTCTGGTTAGTAGGAAAATCCATCTGGAAGGTAGCGAGACGGTAGGAACGTAACGACGACAAATAGCCGTTTGTAGCGCGTTCGTCAGGTGTCGTAATCGCTTTAATGGTCCATACCCAATTCGGTTATCACGCTCGACGGTTGGTAACGAGCGCGAGCTCGTGCGCGTTCACGCCCTCACCCCCGTTTCGATCGAAATCGTTGCGTTTGCAATCGACGCGCGACCAGTTCCGCTTCTCCCTCGGTTCGCGAGACTTTGCTCT